GCGCTGCCTTGCAGCTTAAGAATAGCTAGAAAGAATTTCGACGCGGTCCGTGAGGGCCGCGTTAGCATAATTGGTCAGTGCATTCGCCCGGATTGCGAAGGGTGCGGGTTCGAGTCCCGTCTGCTGCCTGGTCCGCGTGGATTTTTTTCTAGTTATATTTTCTTTAGATTTAAACATCAAGCAGTTACATGCTTTAAAAATAATAAAAATTATAACTATAATTGCTATTTCTTCTTTCAAATATTTAATACTTGTAAAAGTATTCATTTGACATTGTGGGTTTACCTATAATGCGAAGAGATGGCGCTGCCTTGCAGCTTAAGAATAGCTAGAAAGAATTTCGACGCGGTCCGTGAGGGCCGCGGTAGCATAATTGGTCAGTGCATTCGCCCGGATTGCGAAGGGTGCGGGTTCGAGTCCCGTCTGCTGCCTGGTCCGCGTGGATTTTTTTCTAGTTATATTTTCTTTAGATTTAAACATCAAGCAGTTACATGCTTAAAAATAATAAAAAATATAACTATAATTGCTATTTCTTCTTTCAAATATTTAATACTTGTAAAAGTATTCATTTGACATTGTGGGTTTACCTATAATGCGAAGAGATGGCGCTGCCTTGCAGCTTAAGAATAGCTAGAAAGAATTTCGACGCGGTCCGTGAGGGCCGCGGTAGCATAATTGGTCAGTGCATTCGCCCGGATTGCGAAGGGTGCGGGTTCGAGTCCCGTCTGCTGCCTGGTCCGCGTGGATTTTTTTCTAGTTATATTTTCTTTAGATTTAAACATCAAGCAGTTACATGCTTAAAAATAATAAAAATTATAACTGTAATTGCTATTTCTTCTTTCAAATATTTAATACTTGTAAAAGTATTCATTTGACATTGTGGGTTTACCTATAATGCGAAGAGATGGCGCTGCCTTGCAGCTTAAGAATAGCTAGAAAGAATTTCGACGCGGTCCGTGAGGGCCGCGGTAGCATAATTGGTCAGTGCATTCGCCCGGATTGCGAAGGGTGCGGGTTCGAGTCCCGTCTGCTGCCTGGTCCGCGTGGATTTTTTTCTAGTTATATTTTCTTTAGATTTAAACATCAAGCAGTTACATGCTTTAAAAATAATAAAAATTATAACTATAATTGCTATTTCTTCTTTCAAATATTTAATACTTGTAAAAGTATTCATTTGACATTGTGGGTTTACCTATAATGCGAAGAGATGGCGCTGCCTTGCAGCTTAAGAATAGCTAGAAAGAATTTCGACGCGGTCCGTGAGGGCCGCGGTAGCATAATTGGTCAGTGCATTCGCCCGGATTGCGAAGGGTGCGGGTTCGAGTCCCGTCTGCTGCCTGGTCCGCGTGGATTTTTTTCTAGTTATATTTTCTTTAGATTTAAACATCAAGCAGTTACATGCTTTAAAAATAATAAATATTATAACTATAATTGCTATTTCTTCTTTCAAATATTTAATACTTGTAAAAGTATTCATTTGACATTGTGGGTTTACCTATAATGCGAAGAGATGGCGCTGCCTTGCAGCTTAAGAATAGCTAGAAAGAATTTCGACGCGGTCCGTGAGGGCCGCGGTAGCATAATTGGTCAGTGCATTCGCCCGGATTGCGAAGGGTGCGGGTTCGAGTCCCGTCTGCTGCCTGGTCCGCGTGGATTTTTTTCTAGTTATATTTTCTTTAGATTTAAACATCAAGCAGTTACATGCTTTAAAAATAATAAAAATTATAACTATAATTGCTATTTCTTCTTTCAAATATTTAATACTTGTAAAAGTATTCATTTGACATTGTGGGTTTACCTATAATGCGAAGAGATGGCGCTGCCTTGCAGCTTAAGAATAGCTAGAAAGAATTTCGACGCGGTCCGTGAGGGCCGCGGTAGCATAATTGGTCAGTGCATTCGCCCGGATTGCGAAGGGTGCGGGTTCGAGTCCCGTCTGCTGCCTGGTCCGCGTGGATTTTTTTCTAGTTATATTTTCTTTAGATTTAAACATCAAGCAGTTACATGCTTTAAAAATAATAAAAATTATAACTATAATTGCTATTTCTTCTTTCAAATATTTAATACTTGTAAAAGTATTCATTTGACATTGTGGGTTTACCTATAATGCGAAGAGATGGCGCTGCCTTGCAGCTTAAGAATAGCTAGAAAGAATTTCGACGCGGTCCGTGAGGGCCGCGGTAGCATAATTGGTCAGTGCATTCGCCCGGATTGCGAAGGGTGCGGGTTCGAGTCCCGTCTGCTGCCTGGTCCGCGTGGATTTTTTTCTAGTTATATTTTCTTTAGATTTAAACATCAAGCAGTTACATGCTTTAAAAATAATAAAAATTATAACAAAATATTTGACAGCCAATTTGCAAAGTCATCATTGTATTAAGTACTTGTACCGTAGTATTAGACTGTTTATGTTTTCAGAGTTTATATTTCTTTAAATTGGTATTATCAGGGTATCAATTTTAACCAAAAGTCATGTAAATTATAAATATCAATTATATAATATGATATTTAAAAAAAGGTTTTGCTTCCTTTATTATCTGTTATTTATTTATATTCCAAACGAGTATGATTTGTTTTACATTAATATAAGGAATAAAAAAGAAATCCAGTACACAGAACTCAGACTCAAAATTCGTGTTGACTGATGTAATAAGAGAGATTTTTTATATATAAGTAGCTACTTACGAATATACAATACATGTCAATAGTCAATCGTTTATTGCAAACTAAGTATAGATATATCTATCTTACTGCGACAGATACATTAAATGGAAAATTACATTATAAGTGCTTTAAACTTAGTCGCCCTTTTCGGACACAGCAAATTGTTAGAGGGCTTTTAAAATAAATTGACATATAAAATTAAATATAGAAAAATGACAAATCGTCATGACAATATTATTAATTTAGGTAATTCATATTTTGTCACGTCCTTAGATCTTCCTTATTACGGTGATCATTATCATTAAGTGTAAGTTTTTTTTTATTGATTTTACTAAGTTTACCGTTTTAGTATTATTGTTGTTAAAAATAAATATATTTTTTTTTATTAAAATTGTATTTTATTCAAAACGCTTTACTACTCAAATACTTAAAATTAATAAAGATTTAAAGCAAGTGTAGTGTATAGACATAGACTATTTTGCTGGTAAAAAGTATTATCGCTCCCTGTTTCTGTAGTAGTGATGATTACGTTCTAATTTTTTAATCTTTTTTTTGGGATCGCGACCAAAGTGTGACCAATGGGTGAAAGGAACCCTATTACTAAGCCTTCGCTTCAGGTGCGGTCGCAGCCTGAAATTTTGGTGGGGGTCACTCACTACACTAATAAAAAATAGGTATCTGGAATAAAATAAACATTATTCCACAAGACACTTTTTGACACAAGATTTTTCAATTTGACCTTAGATTTGGGGGGGGGGGGGGGGGTTCATGTCCCCTGTGATTTTTTTAAAATCATCAACTTATCACCTTCTTTTGTTTGATAGAGTTCGTTCGTTGTTATTTAATACCTGTGATTTTTGAGGCAAATGAGAACAGACAAAAGTAAGAGATAGATATAATTATTGTAAACACCAACGCTCGTGGCAGTCGCATAATATTTACTCTTGATCGCACTGAACTGGACTTATGGATGATGCGCCGGGTAAGGCCCGTAAGTGCGAGCGAGAGAAAATATTATGCGCGACGTTGCTCTATGCCGCTACACAGCTACCTACAGCCAGCGGTTTGGCAACATCTCGGGATTTCTGTGATGCGCGTGCGATATCGAGACCAAATAAAGAAATAATAAAACAACAACAATAATCAACGCGTAATTTTACATTTGGTTTCGATTTTAATATTGAATTCATGAATCTGGTATAGCCATATTTTTAAAGTAAACCTATAGCCTTTTTACTCTCAAATAGTATGAGCTTAATAATCATTTCTTTTATTTTTATTATGCTCTTGTAAAAATAGGTACTAGCTTTCCGTCAGCGGCCTCGCACGCGCAGAACAAAACTTTGATCATACATTTTAACCCCTTAGAGTATAAATAAGAAAATACTACCATTTTCTATTTCTCTAGGTAATTAGAAGCCTAATTAATTACCAACTCCGATATTAACAACCTTAAAAAATTTAATTTTAAATTTATACACCTTTATCCCCAATTTAAGGAAGTTTCCTAAAATCCTTTTTAGGCAACGACTCCTAATAATTACCTACTTTCGTGTAAAATTTCACCTTCATATTTAAACTTTTAATTTAAATTAAAGTTGATGCTGTCACTTTCTTTGTAGAAACAAAATTTCTTGGTAAAACAAAATAAGACAACACGCGACTTAATGAAGATTACCTTTAATTGACGCCTTAGAGTGCGGCTGTTAGTGACATATAAAATATCACTGAATTATTCAGGAGTTATGATTCTTATAAGTTGTTAAATAATCTACAGAACTCTTACTTCGTAAATAGCACGAACGATTACAACTGTTTCCGGATTTAATTATGTAGGTAATTGAAAAGAGGACATTCACTAAATCATTTACGAATTCCTAACAAAATGTAATATCATGAGCATACATTCATCACAACACAACCGAACTATTGCTGTTCATTCATAAAAAGTCGAGAGCCCGCCCACTAACGAATCGTACAAAACGAGTGCATGGCAAAATCGCCTTAAAGCTGGTCAGGCGGCCGTGACCGTGTTTGTACGTCGAATATAACTAACAGACTCAGAAGACGTAATGTTGTTTAGCTGGGAAGCTGAGACACTGGCCTCTGCTCTCTTAAAGTCATTCCGCATGCAACAAAATTGATAAAAAGATTGGAAACAAAAAAAAATCACTTTTCAAAACCTTTTTTGAGTGATTTAAGCACCAACTTTAATCCTTAATTAGAGGCATGAAGAAGTCCTTTAAAACTGACAAGAAGTAGCATTTGGTTGGTGTACATTAAGCGCAGTACTAACTTTTTCTACCCACCACATATAAAAAAACATAGCAAACACTCACATCTTCATTGGTGTGTTCTTGATACGAGGCCTTAGCTCGCTTGTTGATCAGCGGGTCGAGGCAGATGAGGAAGCCCATGTAAACCACCAGCAGCATTATCACCCAGATCACTATTATCACTACCACCTAAAGATACAACCAATATCAACTTTAATATTTTTTAAGGGCGTATAGTAATATAATAAGAGTGGATCGGTGCAAGAGGTTCGATTTGCTTAAGAACTAAGAACCAACCAACCAGGGATAAAATAATCGTATGTTTTATTAGGCTGAAAGACGACAAAAAGGTAGCAGACAAAACTGGTTGAGGAGAGTCAAGGAGACATCAATTTTAATTATAATTGGAAATAACTTAGTTAAGGCTGTACTATGCTTCATGGAAATTGCCTCATTGTCATCAATAATTTTCTGTTTACGCCGAGAAACGAGAGTTATAGTTATGGTCGTAGAAAAAAAACGTAAATTATGGTAGTCATAAAATACATACCATTTAAGCAGGGAAGATTTAAAAAAATAGGCTGTTTTGATGATTTTTTTTGCCTTCTATTACTATGTAAGTATAATTCTAAAAGTATAAAAAGATTTCCCTAAAAGGTTAACGTACAAATGAGCGACATTACAGCCAACCAGAACCACCAGTCCAATATCTGTGAACTTGCTCTCATTATATCAATTTCAGTTCACATTACGAGTCAAGTGACTTTATGGTTCTAATTAGGAATGACCTTTGGCCTTCATTTACATAGTTATTGTTTAATCTATTCTAATAATACCTTGATAATAGTAGTGTTCCGATTCTCATATTTGCACTCGCATCGGGGGCAAAACTCTTCAGTGATTTCAGCTCCATCACGTGGCAGAATTACACCCTTGCAGTTGCTGATGAAAAATAATTGACATTCATTAACAATATACATTTACTATTTATGATTGCGCATTTATTTATGAATATAGTCTCTAAAAATTACCTCACATAGGGATATATTTTATTCTAGTATTGGTTTCATCTACACATTTCTAATTATTGAGAAGGATATCTTTAGAAACAAAAAACAACATTTTATCAACAATACACCATTTGCATTGGTACTGCTGATTGAAGTATGAAAGTACCTAATAAATTAGCCATTCTTTGATTTTTTGGACATAAATTACCAGATACATAAATTTGATATCTGAGTAATTTAGAGGTAAAGAAGTTGTTAGGTACTATGCGATTCAAATAAGAATGGAACACTTTTTTTAGCACTGAGGTAATCTTAAAATAAATACCAAATATTTTTAAACAAAAGAAGGAAATAAATCATATGAAACGTATAGAAAATGTGTACTGGAAAAGGAAAATATAAGAACTCTGGTTTATTATAAATACAGGTAATAAAAAGACTGTTTTGATTTTAAATAAAGATATTGTTTTAAAACCTAAAATAATCAATATTTTATTTTATAGCTGAGAGCAGCAGTGATGATTATGATGACTACTCCAACGGCAGTGCAGAATTAAGGAGCTAGATTCTGATTAATATTTTTACTCACTTACTCTTAATAAATAAATATTATTAATAATTGAATATTTTTTCTCACTTAATAATCAAAGAAAAATTTTTTTGCTCACTCTTCCTAACTGGTTTGAATTCCCAGTCGGTCCTATTCGTAGTTCAATCGCATTGTTATTATCGAAGATTTGCATATAGTTGTGTACGAAGGAGGTAAGTATGTGTGGTGGTGAACACTCTTTATAATTGAAAAAAGAAAGAGTATTAATTACCATTTATTGGGTGGAACATTTGCAATATAATGTCTGCGGTGATCAGTGGTAGTGGTCGCTGAGTTGTTAAACACTGCAGCTGGACTTGGACAAACACATTTGCACCTCTTATCTTCATATGATTGACCCTGTGTGAAAATCCAGAGGATTATTCATGGGATTTATCAATATCTTAACAGTTTTCAAACACTTCATTATTATTATTTCTGTTTTATTGTAATATTGATTTTATGGACAAAGAATTTAATGCACTTTATAAATAAGCAATATGTCGTTTTCACTGATCACAATGTCTTTGTGCCATGTCACATAGTAAATAATTAATATCATTAACTGTTGTTATAAATGTAATTGTTTAACTGAAATATAATAAATGCCGACTATTTCTTTTTTGTTTCTCCATGTGCCCCCTTATTAACATATCCAAAATTTACAACAAATTGGAAATCCATAAAGTTATGGGCATAAAGGAGTACTGTTTGTTTTCGAATCAAGGGGCATATATGGGTTAACAAAGTGTTTAAAAAGGTTTCTGCCTTTTCAACAAAAAAAAATGGAAAATTAAACCAACACCTCTGTGAAGTTTTAACTCTTGGGCCCAGGGAGTACAGTATATCCTTAAAATATTTTCAGGCCAATCAATGCCAAAAGTGACATTATTGAGGTGTGGCTATGAGAGTAACTAATTTATTTATATTTGTCTCAAGCTATTGTTAATGCTTGTATCATCAACAAGAATATGCATGAGTGTATGTTTTTGGACACAAATAAGCCCAAACAGCAGGTGGATTTTCACAGTGAATTATATTTGACCATATACAAACTTAATAGATATTCTTTTGGTACAAACTATTGTTGTGTGGGAACGCTATGGAAGTTTTTTTCCAGAACTTTTATGTTTGTAGGATTAAAGAAATATCAATAACTACACTTGAGATTAGCCAAAGGTGTAGTGTATGCATCATATACGAAAAAAAAAGTGAAAACAACTAGCAATTATCTATAATGCGATTAGAAATTGCAAAACAACATAGAGAAACTTACCGAAACAACGACAACATAAATGGCTATGAAAAATACGACGATATATTTATAATACATTTTAAAATTTAAGTCTAATATAGCTCAAAATAAGAATATTGTTTAATTACTAAATCAGTTCAGAAAGTATATAATTTTTAGATTGTAAAAGAGGCACAAGGAGCTGACATGGGGTGTATTCCGTAATGTATACCACAGACCAATAAGAGAACAAGTTAAGTATACCCGTATACTGGCCAGTGCTAATGAAGTCATGGATCGACGCTATACTGGTGAATTGTTCCGAAATATATTGGCCAGTGCACTGACGTCATAGATAAACAAAATATGAAAAATAGTGCGATTAAAGAAGATTTTTTATTCACCTCATCAATTAAAAGGAATTCTTTTTGTTCGGATGCCATTATTATTCTTTAAATAAAAAAGAAAATTCAAATGCATCTCACGCACGCTCGGTCATACGTCATATTAGTTTTCTCGGTAAAAATGTGGTAGCATACCAGTACACAGTGTGTTATAAGACCGTAAAATCGGACATTCTCATTTATTTGATGAATCGTTTAGAGCTCATTTATGCAAATATGATAGAAAAACTCTCGTTTGAAAATTGCACTTAGTTTTCGAGATACAAAAATTCAAAAGTTAGTTATTTTTTTCTTTTTAAAAAATGAAAAACTTTCTTATTCGTAAACTAATAACATTTAATTTAGAGCCGTTATAATACTTCATAGAACTCTTAAAACTACACGTAATAAGCGTTTAAAGTGTTTTGTAAATGCTTGCAGTTAAATAAAAAAAAATGTTTTTGTTATATTTGTTTTTATTTTTTTTCTCCATTATACCATAATATATGCAAACTTTTTTAATCGCAAGATATAGTCTGATATTTATACTAGTTGTATAAAAAAAATCAGCATTAAATTTCGTGGTATATTTGAGAAAAAACAAACTGAAAATATGCACCAGGGCTGCACTTAGAATTGTAAATTTCTTATAACTTTTTAAAAGCAATATTTCTTTTGGAGGTTTAAATATTTTATTAAAATCACACATATTAAGACTGAATCTTGTGTTTGATTATAGACAATGCCAGAGATGACAAAGGTCGAATGTCGGTTGAAAACTTACTTTAGCCCAGTAAAATTAGCTTTTAACCTTGGAATAGGAAGCGAGATATTTATGAAAACCCCGTTCTTATAAATATCTCGCTCCCTATTCCTATCTTTTCCCGTTCGAACTTAAATAACTTAAGACGCAGAAACTAGATTTTATATGATTATGAGATTTATGAGGTAACCTTTAAAACGTCAAAACATAGATTTATAAAAAATATCAGCTTATTATCTTCCTTCCCGAGAATTCACCCTCTTTTTGAGCTAATTTTATTGGATCTCAAAAAGCTTAATCTATTGATCGATATTAGTTCGATATTACAGAACAATGTATCGAAGATCAGGTCGAAGACCCAAGTGATGATACAACAGTCCTATCATGTGAAAATAACATTTTTATCGACTGAAAATAAATTTACATTAATATAAAATAAAATTATTAAAACAACCGCAGGCACCGAATATCAATTTTTAGACCTTTAAACGCTATGAATATAACAGGTTGGATTCAATTAGTATTTTATTTGTAACTTTTTAGACATTAATTTATCCCTTCTAAATGTGTCAACCCTAGACGCGTAAAAATTTTGTGAATAGGTTTAATTTTTTTTTTCAAATATACCACGGAATTTTAAGCTCATTTTTTTATATAACTAAAATACATATCAGACTACATCTTGCGATTGAAAAAGTTTGCATATATTATGGTATAATAAAGAAAAAAATTAAAACAAAAATCTTTTTTTCTAATTAACTGCAAGCGTTTACGAAGCACTTAAAACGCTTATTACGTGTAGTTTAAAGAGTTCTATGAAGTACTGTAACGTTTCTAAACAAAATGTTATTAGTTACAACGTAAGATAGTTTTTTCATTTTTAAAAAAGAAAAAAAATAGTATTTTTCAATTTTTATATCTCAAAAACTACGTGGCATTTTCAAACGGGAGTTTTACTCTCATATTCGTATAAATGAGCTCTAAAGAGTTCATCAAATAAATAAGAATGTCCGATTTTACGGTCTCATAACATACTGTGCAGTACAATAAGGCGTCGGATTCGTGACGTCATTACCACTGGCCAGTATACTGATGTATATTTCGGAATACACCCATGTTGTATTCTTTCTTTGCGTCAAATCAACAATAAATGTCAAAATTGCTTGTCTGTGTCAAAAAAAATTAACCATAATGTTGCCATGAAGCAATATACAAATTATTATGGACATAATGGTGTCAATTCTGGCGTGATTCTCTAAACTTAAAACTAAATTTAAGGTCAGTTTCACCTTTTCATTCTGTATAGAGTAGGACAAGGATGCACTGTTGTCAAATTTAAGTTTAGCTTTAGAGAATCATGCCCGAATTGACATAAATATATTATAAACACTACCTATAAATACAGGCTGAGTAAGATAAATAGAACCAAGGCCATGTATTCCATTCCAATAGGATGGTCACAATTTTATTATTAGAAATACAATGGTGCCGATTCTGGCGTGATTCTCTAAACTTAAAACTAAATTTAACATCAGTCTGTCCTTTTCATTCTGTATAGAGAATGACAAGGATATACTGCTGTCAAATTTAAGTTTAGGTTTAGAGAATCATGCTAGAATCGACACCAATAACATCATCGCTTCCTAAGTGAAACACGTATACATTGCTGTTTAGTGTTTTTATTTCGACGTTGGAAAAGTTGACATTTTATTGTGATTAACGTGTGAAAACATTGCATGTCTTGAGTGCTTTCTTTTGAAATAATAACTACTTTGGACCGTGAAGTATAAATACTTTAAAGGATAGAAACAGTGCCGATTCAGTTATTTTTTTTTAATAAATTTATTGAGAACTGAGTCTTATGACCGATTGTTTGTTGCGAGAAGCTTTTAATTACGTTGAATGGAATTCATAAATTTTACAGCATCACCGTTCTCTGTGGCGCAGTGTGGTAGTGCCTAGTGTAACGTACCCATCTTCTCAACAGGTCACTGATTCGATCCTGACGAACAAAATCTTTTTCCTTTTTTTGTTTATATATTTTTTTTTTCTATTCAAGAAAGAAAAGTTTTACTTTGTCTATATTATTATTTATCAAAACTATACTGAAACAAAAAAATATGTCTTAGTCTTCGCATCAAATGCCTTAACAAGAAGGATTTGGAGTGGGTTGCTGCACGGTAGAATAAAAGGGAGGTGCATATATTCCATGTACCTTCTTGAATGCTTGAGGGCTTATCACTCAGCCTGTTTAGCTTCTGTGGTGTTGAGGAAACTTGCACTTGCACTTTTTTATGTCCAATGTGCCAATACGGGGAATACCCGCAAGGAGTTTAGGTTGTAATATTAATAATATCTGAAGATCCAGTAAGCAGCAAGCATTAAACTCACCACCAAATGAAAAACCAATCACAATTAGTGGTCAAATGCAGAAAATTGTCAAAGGTATGTTAATTAATTTGTAAGTTACCTGTCAACATCAAATAAAGCGTTGCATGCTGCAGCAAGACTAGCAGCAGAGGAGATGTACTATAAAAATACGTTTGGGTCCACAACGGGCGTATTTTTACGAGAAAAACTGACATGTCTTCCTATATTATTTTAAGAAACGTTGAAGTATTGCAAAACCTCAAACCTCGTTTTAGAATAAAATTTCAATTTATAAAGTTTTATCGAATTAATGTATATAACAGTCAGCAGTATGACGCGCACTGCTGAAAATGGGCCTCACACAAGGATCTCTACTCCGATCGGTCCTGCGCCACTCGCATCCATCGGCATCCCACGATCTTCACAAGATCGTCGGTCCACTTTGAAGGGGGCCGACCCACTAAGCGTCGTCCAAGGGCCATCGGTTCTTCTTACTACATGACCCGCTCACTGCCACTCAGCACAGCAATCCTTCGAGCGATATTACTATGGTTCTCCTACGATTTCCTCATTTCTGATTTTATCGCGTAGGTAAATACCGAGCATCGCTCTTTCCATTGCTCGCTGTAGACCATAAGCCTTCTTATGAGACCCGCAGTAAAGGACCACGTCTCACTTCCGTTCGAAATCACTGGAAACACACTGGTCAGACTTTTGTCTTGAGAAACTGAGGTAATTTTGACGTGAAGATTTTCCGTAGCTTCCCGAACGCTGCCCATCCGAGCTGGATACGACGAGAGGTCTCTTTCTCAAAGTTGAACTTACCTAACTGGACTGTCTGTCCTAGGTAAACGTAATGGTCGACGACTTCGAGTGTTGTGTTCCCAATTTTAACTGGAGCGGGTACTACATGGGCATTCGACTTAATTTTTGTCTTATCCATGTTCATCTTAAGCAATCTTTGGGAAGTACTACTAAGGTCTTCGAGCTTCGTGTTAATATCATCCAAGGTCTCAACCATAAGAACTACATCATCGGCGAAACGAAGGTGCGAAAGATACTCGCCATTAATGTTGATGCCTCGACCTTTCCAATCCAGAAGCTTGTAAATATTCTGCAATGCAGCTGTGAACAGTTTTGGAGATATCACATCTCCCTGTCACACGCCTCGCTGTAGTTGGATAGAATTAGAGCTCTGGTTCTGTAATCGGACTGACATAGTAGCGTTTTCATAAAGGTACCTTAATACCTCGACATACTACTCGGCACATTTGGAGAGGTTGTAACACCGCCCAGATCTCAATTGAATCGAAGGCTTTCATATAGTCCACGAACGCCAATAAATGGCAGATTATACTCTTCGGTCTTCTGTATAACCTGCCGCAGCGTATGAATGTGGTCTATAGTGTTAAATGAGTTTATATTCTTTTGATAAATAATCTTTATAATTTTTTTAACCCTATTTTTGTAATCTGTCATGTGTGTGTCATAGCAAGCGTTATTTTTTTCTCTTTTTAATAAATATTATTCTGATCTGTCTTGTGAATGCCGACTTTATTATTTCATAATTTATTGATAATAGTTCTATCATGGTAGCAGTGCCTTAAAAGTTATGGAATAAATCAGAGCTCGTGATAAGCAACAATATTTTTTTGGAAAACATTTTGTGGTATCACAATATTTTTTCATCATGCCATATTTTTTCGTCACCAAGTTGCAAGATTGATATT